TAGAAATAATAATGGCTATTCAAATAGAAATGCAATACCTCTTTCCATAGTAGAGAGAAACTGACTTAAGTGACCCACATGCTTGCTCAGCCTGCTATCCAGGTGCTACTTGCTGAGCACCTCAAGCCCTACAGCTTTTCCTACTTAAGATCCTTGGCCTTAAGATCCTTACTCAGACTTGGCCACATCAGGCCTTCAAACAGGCCTCTGCCAGCTCTCCAAAGAGAGGACAATCTCTGTAAAGTAGGACATCTGGCCACCCTGGTCCCAAGTCTGTTGCTGGTGTTAGCGGGAGACACGGAGCAGTCTCTGATTTGCAGTTCCTGATATCACAAGCCTAACACCCCACACCCCACCCTCCTGCAAAACTTATATGGAACTTCATCCCCTTTGGGCAAGATTGCACGGCACAGGAACCTGCCTGAGCACCTCTTTCTTTGGGGCTTGACATACCTTCTTAAAATACCTGGAGAAATAGCAACCTGTAGTGATTGCTGACAACCTCTTCATGAATACTATTGTTATGTTAACCAGGCCGCCTATGCAAATCCATAAAAGAGGGATGGCAATAACACTCCTCAGCCCCTCTCCAGTATTGTTCAGCGTTTTGTAATAGCTGGCAAAGCAGACATTTGGAAGCCATAATTTTTGCTCAGCGAAGCAGGTAATTGCTCAGATAAAACCTTAACACATCATAATCTCAGTGGCACACACAGGCTCTTGACAGCTTAATTGCAGTTGTGCCAGTGTGTTTGCTTGGAAGTGGGTGTGCCTTAACTCTTGGATGTCTGCTGGCTTTTTCAACCATGAAGCCCCTCTGGATTCTGCTGTGGCATCTTCTGAGAGGGCAGGGAGGATTCTCACACTTTCACCACTGTCCTTGTGTGCATATCACAGCTGCCTGTCATGGAGAGCAAGGTATGTCCTGTCATCAGAACCCTGCTGTTTTGTTTTTTCAAACCAGTGACCTTGATAACCCAAGGAACTGTTATAGAGTTTATTTTAACTATGGTGGGTTGTCATGTCATCTGAACCCAGACAAACAGGGGTAAAGTCCAGCAGCCAGCAAGGTGCTCAGCAAGGGCAGCAAAAAAACTCTTGCTCTTCCCAAGCTCACTCTGGCTATCACCAGTACCAGCCACCTCACAAGTGCCCAAGCAGCACTTTGAGGAGGCTGGCACTCCTTCCTGTCCTTGATCAAGAGCTGCTTTTAGCTCACTTCAGCTTCTTTAGACTTTTTTCCTTTTTCCTTCAGAGCCTGCAATCCCTATTTTGGCAGTCAATGAGAATCCCTTCTGAGTGGCACCTAGGAGGAGCTGTCGGTGGCTGTAAATCCATTTTTTAAATTCTGTGCACAGTTATTTGGGTTCATGTGTGAGTGTGCAAGTGTGGAGGTGTGCACTTATGGAGATCTGAATATGAACAGCCTATCCTGGGCAATGATCAGGAAGGTATCTGTTGCCATGGAGCAGCAGGTACCGACCCTGGACATTGCCTCAGTGAGGTTCCACATGCCCTTTTCTTGGTTTGGTTTGGTTTGGTTTGGTTTGGTTTGGTTTGGTTTGGCAGTTGTCAAAGTGTGAGCTGTCAAGCTAAAGCAAAGATTCAAGTTAGCTATGACTACAAAAAGGGAATGTGGGGTGGGATTCACACCCCTTTAACACTCATGGGTCTGTTTGTACTACACTGTCATAAAGGTGAGCTCAGCTTTTCACCTGTTCCCAAGAATATAGGAAAAGGGTGAACCTCCCCCTTTTAAAAGGAGCAGCAATTTCGACAGTGAGCCAGGGTAGGTTGCTTTGACATGCAAATGTGACAATTGTGTTACTGTTATAGTACCTTTCCAATGCTCAAGATGCTTTAAAGTGGGTCCCTTATTTTATTTTGAAAATTCAGGTGGAAAGGCAGACAGAAAATGGCTGGAAGTGCTGTGCTTTCCAGTGGCCAAAAGGCTGCTGGTGGTGTATATGCTAAGGTCCTGGGAGCTTTCTCATATATTTCTCACGTATAAAGATTTAACTGTTCTGACATTACCAGGACACCTCTCTTCAGCCACTTCCACATGTGCATTTGCAAAACACAGCTAGGCAGATACAACACTGGCCAGCTTAAGGATATGTTTCCACAGTAGCCCGGCCATGCTACCAGCTACGTAGTATACAAAACACTTGTGGAAACAAGGGAATTGCCCTGGACAAGCTGATACTCCTTCACCCAAGGTAGGAAGCTGGTTGGACAGCGCGTACAGAGCCCACACTGATTCCACAATGATCTGCTGGACAAATGAGACCCGCACCAAGCAAGTACTCAGTCCCAACTGCACAGACTTCGAATGGAACAGGTGCATGGCATGAGCACATCTTCCCCCCAGGCCAAAAATGCAGAGACATGTCCTGAGGTCCATAGCTGATCTAGTGGCTTTGCAAGCACAGGAGTACACTCTGTGTTGTGCTTCCCATGGGTATCCATCACAAGTATAGCTGCTTCGAGAGTGGAGGGAGTGTGGAGTCATCTGCATCAGGCGCATCTTTCCAAGAAGTTGGCCCTAGAAATGACTCCAGTTTTTCTTTTCATCTTTCGATAAACTGGCCCTAGTCCTTAGCTGGTTGAAACCTGTTCATGTTCAGTTCATTTTCTTACCCGGATGTGATATTCACTGATTGAGGCTCATTGTAGAGATAGCACCTTACCTTTGCAAGCTGTACCCATCTTTAGAAGTCGAGAATAAGAGGAGAGGCGAGAACAAAGAAAATCTTTCAGGAATCCAGGACCACACGATGCGCATTTCCTGAGCGGTCACAATGGTGGATGTGAAATTATGTGCATTCACAGTAAGATGGAAAGGTTGTCTGTGCAACAGAGGAAAGGAGGGGGGAAATCATCAGTCCTGTGCTGCAAGCAGCTCCCTCTTTAGGACAGAGAAGGCTCTTCTTGCAAGCCTGCAGCTAGTGGAACTCACACAGGTTAGAACCACTGGTAGTAGAGGATACCTCTAAGTGCAGACCACTATAAGATCCAAAGAAAGACGGTTGGAGAGAATAAATGCTGAAACAATCTGATGGGTATCACTATATGGTCAACCATGCCTTGCTATCATTGCAATATCAATAAATCTAGTCTATATAAAAATAAAGGCAACAGAAACACCCGTAAACCAGGGCTAGCCCAATGCTACAGATGTGATTATGCATGATAGTCATATGAGAAGCGGCCTTATTCAGAGAATGGCCTGTCTAGTTCAATATTGCCCACTCTGGCTGGCAGCAGCCCTCTGTGATTTGAGAGGGGTTTTCCTTTCTGTATCCTCTACCAGTGGGATTCTCCTGGCCCCCAGCGGTCATCTGCACCTCACTCCACATGGTTCCGCTAGGCTCCCATTCTCCCAGAGGACCTTTTCAGGAGCTATAGCTGGCTGCAGGGAGCATGGCAGAGCAGATAGGGAGCCACCAGAGCACACGAGGAAAAAGATCCACATACACATTTGTATCTCAAGAATGGGCCTGAGAGAGACTATGGGGACCACTCTGTAATAGTTTTGATCCCCAGTTATGGGCACTTGCACACTGGTTTATCCATGGTGATCGTCAGCAGAGAATGTGCCTGGTTTCAAGAGGGAGCAATGGAAGCGCTTTTACCTGTGGTGTACCGTGGTTATGCCTTTCTCCACTAATGCCTTCCTGTTGGCCATTTGAAGCAGCCAGATTTCCTTGCGAGAGAAAAGCCGGATGCCAAACGCCTTCTCAAGCAGCTTGTCTGCACTCATGTGCTCCTGAATGTCCCACAGGAAAGCCTGCAAGCTTCCTTTGATATCCTCAATCACCTCCAGCCCTTTTGCAGTTACAAAGAGCTGGTATTGCTTCAGTAGGGCCAGTGCAATTCGGTAGAGGACTTTCTTCCCCTCTACAAGGTACACGTCAAAGATGCGGATGACATATTCAAATGGAAGGTCCTCAAAAAGCCATACCAGCCAGTCAGAATACACATCAAAGGTGCTGTCTGATGAGCTGGCCATCAGCCGGTGGGCAGCTGGGCAGTGTTTGTTGGCTAGGTCCCCAAAGGTCATGCATGAGGCCATATGAGCGAGGAAGGAGTGGTCTATGTAGGAGGTGTGGGGAGCGTTGCAGTAGAGGAGCCGACAGGCGTTCTCAAAGCACTGGGCCTCATCTTGGCTGTAATGGAGTAGCAGGGCAGTCACAGCTGGAAGGAGGGGGCAGTAGGTGATGTCTGGGTACAGGTTGGAGATGCAGATGAGTATCTTCTTCAGGGCAGTCGCCCCTTCCTTGTTGAGACTATATTCAGGCATGATGCTTCCTGTCAGGAATTCAGGCAAGGGCTCAGAGGGCTCACTTCCCCTTTGAAAGAGCATGCTGGAAACATCCCTGTAGACTAGGGCATCTGAGGCCACGGATCGGCAGGGTATGTTCTTGATGACGTGCTGGTAAGCCTGTGCCCTTAAAGCATGACTCCTGCTCCAAGACCCTTCCCTTGCCAGCTTCTTCAGTTCTTTAGCAGACTTGCCAAGGAGCTGTTCATGACTGTCCAGAGGATCATTCAGCATGGCGAACTTGTCTTGGTCCACAAATCCACTGTAGCCTGGGCAGGAGATGGCATCACTGTCCCGTGTCTCCATCTTGGAGGGGATCTGCAAGGCCACTTTAAATGGTTGGGCCATTTCTGTAAAATAAAGATACTAGATTCAGTATCTTTTGTCTCATCGTGACAGATCCTTAATTTTGCTGGACAAAAGTGGTTTAAAAAAATCTGTGTTTTCACTAAATTCTAATAAATTTCACCATCAGACAATTCACCCTTAAAATATTAAGGAATAGCCCTCTAGATGCCTCCATCTCTCCTATAAATCCAAACTGTTTATTTCAAATTTATTTATTATTGTATTTATACCCTGCCTTTTTCTCCTTTCCAGAAACTCAAGGTAGCTTCTATGATCCTTCTCTCAGTCTTCCCATCACAACAGCCCTGTGAGGTAGGTTGGGCTGAGGGTCTGTGGCTGGCCCAGAGCCTCCGAAGCGCCAGAACTGAGGGAGAATTGGAGCCCACATAATGCGAGTCCCACCCAGTTCTGCGCTTTTAACCACTACATGCTGTACACTCAGTACAGGTTTATTCATTAGGACATTTGTTAATAGGCATTTAAAAAAGAGTAGGTATGTCTAAAACTGGCTTTAAAAGCATGCTTCCTTTATCCTTTATTTATTAGGTGTTTTATATTGTATGCCGTCCAGGGACAAACTGTAATGGATGGGATAGAAATACCCCAATAAATAAAATAAAATCCTAAAAGGGGATGAAAATACAATGCAAACACGAGTGCCATTACAGGATTCTAAGAAATGAAACTCCGCTTTCCAGAACTGTCTCAAGGGTCTGAAACGTTGACCACTGGTCTTCATTAAGCCCAAGCATGTGGGTTCTGAGACAGCTAAGAGAGCAGGAGCAAGGAAACTCTAGTGATCGTAGTTCATTACCGGTTTCCCAATATACCTGTCTCCAAAGGCATATCAGCAGGACTCCTCTTTCTCCTGGTCCTAAAGCCCTGGCCGGGCACAGTCTGATCATTTGACTTGACCGTCGCAGGGTTTTTCTTCCCTTAGCACAGCTAGAAATGCAGTCCCTTTCTGCATTGTTCATGAAGTATGGCTTTACATATGTACATCCTTAACAATGGATTGGGGCTCACCAGTGGGATGCACATAAGCCTTGTAAAGATACTGGCAGTTTTCACAAGGAACCAAAGAGAAAGGAGATTCTATGTTTCTTTGTTTCTGAGTTGAGGCTCTAGGCAGCTGAGTTTTGGGCAAAAATAGCATTCCGTTGCTCTGGCTTCTCCTTTGACATTTGGAGGATCACAACTGGGACTTGCAGAAAGTTTTGAAAAAGAAATGGGAAGATTCTGTGACTAGTCACCCAGCAGAGCCTTTTGACTTCTGGGCATATTGGGCCCATCTCTTACATACATGACATGATAAAGAATTGGGTTGTTTTTACCAAAAGGCAGCAAATCTGTGAAATTGGCTGCCTAGGTCCTAATGCTTTTCATCTGCAGAAAGCTTAGATTAGAAAAGACCATTGGGAGGAGTAATTGATTGAAGAACAACCCAAACTGAATGTTTAAAAGTGGGGGTGAGCTGTTATCGGTGAGATACCACTGTGATTTGCAAGGGCCCACTGCTGATAAGGGCGCAACTGGTGATAAATCAGAGTTCAAAACTCTTCTTGCAGAACCCCTCATAATAGCTGCAAGTTAAATTGTACTAGTAGTTTCAGGTAACACCTGTCATCCAACAATTCATAGCATTTTGATACTTTTATGTTGTACTGCAGAGAAGAGATGCAACAGAAATAGAAATGCTAGAACAGAGCCACAGGTGTCAGCTGCAGTGGCTCAACTCTGAAACAGAGTAACAAGTGACAATCAAATGTAAAAACCATCTGGAAGTTGCTGTTGTCTGGCTGAGGACTGAAGAGGGTGTTGTGAGTTTGGAGATCTTCATTATAATTAATGGGCCTATCACTGTAGTTTGTGTAAAATATCACCTGATGTTAATGTTTCTTGATAGCTGGAAATCTGTTACTAGCCTTAGAGGGCAATACTTATCAGAATCTGGGAAGGTGGCACACTTCAGCTAGTGGGAGAGGGCAGAGTAATAATTTGGGATTTGGGAAAGAAGAAAAAAGCAACTTGGCTGAAGGAGATGCACCTCTAGGTATAGAGGCCCTTTCTGGGAATCTGAGGGGTAGCAGCTTTGCTGTGTTCCCTTGAAGGACCTGGCTGCTTCCAGTATGATCTGCTTGCATATTTGTAAATAAAACACATATGTCAAGAGAGCATGAATCTTCCAGATGGTTTTTTGCATTTAATTGTCACTCACCACTTTTTTTATGTTCAGCATTGAGCTGTTGCAGCCAACACCCATGAATGTGCTCTGGCATTTCTATTTCAGTAGTATCTCTGCAGTACAGATTAATAATATAACAATGCTATAAATTGTTGAACGACAGGTATTGCCTGAATGCTAAGTGCCAGTACATTTTTAGCTTGCAGTTTTGGAGAGAATATATCTGGAGAAATCAGTTATCTGGAGAAAAAAATAGTTTTGACCTCTATCAGCTCCAAACCCAGTGTGGGCTGATCTGTCATTTCTCCCACTCCTGCAATGCAAATGAAGGTTCTATTATCCTGTCCCTGAAACTTGTCCCCAGGTGGTAGTGGGATGTATGTAGGAATATGGGAAGCCACGGGCTAAGACTGAAGCAATGAAAAAAGCCCAGTAATGCCTGGAACAGCACGGAAGCAAGGCAATGGGATTAGATCGGGTGGATGGGTGGGTTGCGGGGGCATCCTGTGTGTCACAGGGATAAGCCATATGGAAGTTCATGGGAACAAAAGAGTTATATAGCAAAGGCGAAATATAGCACAAGCTGGGCAAAGCAAGTTGCAGACAAGTGCTGTGAGGGAGCACAGGACAGAGGGCCCTTGACGTGCTAACCTACGTCTGGGAAAACTGCCATAGTTGCGGATGTATTCCTTTGGCAGACTGAGCTCCCTGTAAAGCGGTTTGCGTTTTAAAAGGACTGGGTTTTGGGTTTGCACTGGTTGCTTGGCTTGTGTAACCCTGAGTTGAAGTTGAGCTCCCCCTGGAGGAAAAGCTCTGCTACTGCTGAAAAGAGTTGCTTGACAGTGACCTCTACAGAACGTATTCTTGTGGGTGTGAACTGCTGAATCACAAGAAAGCGTTATTTGGCTCAAATAACATTACATCTTGCAGCTCATGCATTTCTGCACTTTGGGATTTACTTATTCAGACCATGTTTGGGCAGCCAGCTTGCACAGCGAAAAGCTTCCTGCTTGTTGCATATTTATGTATCTTGCCCATATTCAGAAAGAGAGGCCAGGTCAATCTGAATTTGCTGAGCTCCTTGATTTCCTAGGTAGAGTGAAACCTTATTATGCTAACAAAAGTATGTATATTTTGAAATGTGCTGAACTGGAAGCATTCTGCAAATGCGGATGAACTGTGTGCTTCTCCTTACCTAATGCATCTCTTATGGAGCATTCGGGGCTGGGGTGTAGCCGTGCTTTGCCCATGACAGCAAAAACAGCAAAGAGTCTTGTAGCACCTCAAAGACAACCAAGTTTACGATGGCAGAAGATATTCTGGATTGCATGATTTTGTTCAGAGGTAAGGGAAGTAGTGAGCCCATGGGAATGAAAGGCAGCGAGCTCTTACAGTGATAGTTACTTTATTTATGTGTATAGTGGTCATTCACCTGCTGCCCTGCCATGATACTGGACTGAATAAGGTATTTAGTGGGAGCTACATTTAGAAGGATGTCTGCATTCAATGGCGGTGACTACTCTGAATCAGAAATGCTCATGGGACCAAAAATGTACTCAATATAAGGAAGAAAAGTGATGGGACTCTGTGGAAGGAACAGAAAACTATTATTTTTATATCTGTATTTGCTGCAGAACAAGTCTGCTATATAGATTTCTCATTCCACTTGCACTGCACTAAGTATTATAAGTTCATTGCCTGAGGCAAGCAACAAATATGAGTGATGCTGAACAGTTAATTTCATGGCTCTCCTTCATCAGCATTTGTTCATGAATAGATGGCATGAATAGTGGCCATGTATATCATGCTGATCATGATACTTGCTTCATTATTAGAATTAGTCCCATTTTTCTTCATCTCTAGCCTAAGTCATGACCACAAGCCATTGTCATCTCTTCAAATTAAAATAAATAAAAAATAAAGATTATTATATAATATTTCTGTAGAACCTTTTCTAAAGTCATACAATGTTTTACAGTTCTTATTTCATTTATCTTTATGTCAACTTGTAAGATGAAGTTAGACTGAGTATGGCTTTCCACATTCTGTTAATGTTTATACGCACACACAAAAATGTAAGGTGTCTATGTAACAAATATAGTTGTGAGCCCTAGTATTTTATGTGCCAGGGAATTAGCATTGACCTCTGAAACACCGCATGGCCCTTTGTGATGTCACAGAGGATCCTGGGGTATTCCTTTCTAGATGTGAAAAAACAAACATTTCCCAAGAGTTGGGAGAATATGACCTTTACTATGTCAACCAAAATACCACTAAGTTGGGCAAGCTTTCAAGTACTCTAGCATTCTGCATCTGGTTAGGTGATTCAAAAAGCAGGAGATGGGAAAAGAAACAGCAAAGCCCCCTGATTTGGCCAGGTCTCAAAACGAGGATTTGCAATCTGAATTAATTAGTCAGTGGGAGATGTTGCAGGCATCAGATTACAGGTAGCATTGCATTTGGGGACAGCAAAACAATGGCTGATCTCCATTTCTGGAAACAAAAGGGCACTGAAATGCGCAGGCACTGGGCGGGCAACTCGTGGGTTGGCTGGAGCTCCACCTCTGCACCCAGCAGCGGTTGACATCTGTGGCTGTATCAGCTCCGACCTGGGTCTCCCACAGCAGGCACAAATCCCCTCCCCATACCCAGTGAGTCCCCCTGCCCTGTTCTCCAGCTCCATCCAGGTGAGCAGCCTGCTTCTACGTTGCTACAGGAGGTAAAATCTGGGGTGATGTATGCTTTTTCTCCTGTTTATTTGCTAAGCTGATTTAACTATGCCTGTGGGTGTAGAGGGCTTACCTTGTGTGGCTTCCAGGCCTCCTTCCTTTAGATCATCCATAGTGGAATTGGCTCTTCCCCTTGTCCCTGTTTTGTCCAAAGGGAAATCTGCTATGGGGCCCCCAGTGGGGTTGGTATAACTAGGCTCAACCTGCAGCATCCTTGTCCTTGCTGGAATGACCTGGCTCAAGTGCTGCTCCTGGCCTAATTTATTGGGTCGGCGGAGGCCTCCTTTCCAGGTAGCGCCTCCCTGAAGGAGACGCTTATTTGGTGTAAACAGTGGTAAAACGTTTCCCCACTCACTCAGCCATGCCTGCCATATGCCTCTCTGACCAGCAGGATATAAATAAAGATACTGATCAAAACATCAACAGGACTGTTAAAAAGGATCATTTGTTTTTCCAAGGGTAAACTTTATTTTCCTGTACAACCCTTGCAACGTCACAAGGAAACTAGCCCCATGTGTACCACAAACACACATACACACACGTATGGAGGAAGGAGCAGTGGGTGTGTAGAGACATAGGAAGGGAGGGCATCTAGATTTTTGTCCTTTTGATGGTTAAATGTCCTTGAACGGATGGAACATAAACATAGAGCCTGGCTCTCAAACTGCTTCCGGCTGGTTCCTTTGTTTCTACTTCAAGGCAGAAATAGAGTCATGTGAAGAGTGAATGCCAAGTTTTTAACTGACAAAGCTGTGAAGCTTCAAGTGTACAAAAACAAAGGGGCAGGCTGTTGTAGACTGGGGGTGGATGGGGGACTTTTGGTTAGCAGGAAGACACGTGCGCGCAAGTAATTCTGTGTTAGATCCATGTCAACTGTCACTTCATCAGCACTTCATCATTTGCGCGTTGTCTGACCTAGGGATACAAAGTGCTGAACTGATGGAAATAATAGTGCCGGGACTGAATGGGGAAATGTAAGGTCAGTTTTGTATTAGAAACACAGGAAACTGCCTTATATGGAGGCTCACGGAAGGCCCATTGAGCCAAGTATCATCAACACCCAACTGGCGGTGCTGGTCCCAGGTTTTCAGGAGCACTTGGCCAAGGCAGCCTCGGTGAGTCTCCTTGTTCGTCACCAGTGTTGCCCGCTGATGTTGCTCCGCTTCCTCTTTCTGATCTCTGCTACCACTTGCTTGCTTGACTGGCAGAGGGCATCCTCCGTTTTGTTTATTTAAATGGACTATCACTTCTGTACTGGTGAAGTCAATTTTTGCCAAGTGTATACGTCAGGAAGAGATGATTCCAGAGAACCTCAACGAACAAGCAGAGGGTACCCCACATCCTCATAAGGAGGAAGCAGAGGAGCATGATCTTCATCATCATGCGAGTTCAAAACATGATATTTGATTTGATACAGCTGCTTGGCCGTAAGGTTAACAGTCGGGGAAGGCGCACGAGCAAAGCAACGCTTGAGCACATCAACAAGAGAAGGTATACATTGAATACAACAGCATAACATAATTAAAATCACGATAATAATAATAACATACATGATTAGTGACCGAAGCCAGGAAAGATTAGGCAACCAAGACCAGAGCCAAGAGAAATCCGTCCAAGAGGAGGGGTCTCTTCAGAGATCTGTGACCACCTCTTGGATAGTAGTTAAGGATTGCTCGATCACACCAGATTGGTTAACGTAGAAACAGCAAGATTGATTTAGCCAAGCGCACACTCCGCCATTGCGGAGAAATAAGTAATCAAGAGCAAGGCGATTTTGAACAACAACTTTAGCTAAAGAGTCCACTTCTGTTTGTAAAGCTTTTATGGCAATTTTTGAAACATTGGCCAAGCGTTCTATGTCTTTAGATATATTAAGCAATTTTAGATTGGTGAAAACACCATGCAAAGAAGGAATGAAAAACCCAACGAAATCAAGGAAACCTCGAGTGTTAGAATCAAGGTTCCGTCTATATAAATGAGGGTTGGTAGCCCTTTTTACAGCATCATGGGATTGAATATTCATATTCAGAGGTCCTAAAGAAGCAAGGGTACAGGTACCATGCCAGAAGGGAGGGAGGACTTTATATGCGGCAGTGCCACAAACGAAAAATACCCCAGGAGGTAACCCATAGGTATAATTTTCAGGTTTTCCTCCCCTTTTTATAACAGTTCGTTGCCAATGAAAGGAACGGAATAAAAGATACTTACTATCCGGTAGAGACATTTGAGCCCTCCACCGGGTGACGTTATCGGGCCAAGGACCCCTGACGCCACTTGCTGTGCAATTGTCCACCATATAACCGCTCATGAAATAAGCGGAAGCAGCGGAACAAATACATCGAGATTCAACACAAGGGCAAGTAGGAAGGTAGATTATGGAGCCATAATCTTTAACAGTGTAGTCCCAGTCAATTGAGTTATGAGGAAGAACAAGAGTGGTGCTACAGTTTGGATATGCACCTACATCAGCTGACCCATAAAAGGCCTTAATGCAATAGGGTGCAGGTGGCCACAATGCTTGATTATCCAGTAAAATAGGGCTAGTTGAGTATCTACAATAAGATTAAAATCTTCTTGCGCAAACAATTGAAATGCTAAAATTACAGCAGCTAGTTCAGACCGCTGTGCTGATGATTGATTTTCAGTGAACTTCGATGACCAAGAGCCACCTGGCATCTGCCAAGTAACCACTCCTCGGGTAGGAGAACCATCTGTAAACAAAGTTATTGCATGTGACAGTGGCTGTAAAGAAAAGCAAGATGTTAGTTTATATGAAATCTGTGAAAATAGCTGCAAGCGTTTATCTTTCGGTGGATTATGGAGGACTGTTCCCAAGAATCCAGCGAATGCAACTTGAAATTCTGAAGATGTACCCAGCAATCGCTCCACCTCCTCCTGCTTAAAAGGAAAAAACACACAGTCAATATCTTTCCCAGTAAGCTGTAAAGTTCTGTGCCGTGCTTTAAAAAATAAGTCTGCCACAGCAGTTATCCAAGGGTATAAATTTCTTGACGGTGTATGTGGCAAATAGATCCATTCTATGATGCAGATTGTCTCTTTATCTTTGGGCACGTAAAGAATGGCTGTTGGTAATGATGGTGTAGACAAAATAAAGCAAGAAAATTGTAAATCCTCATTTAGCAGCCGGTCAACTGCCCGAACACGAAGCCTTTGAGCAAGTAGTTTAAAAGCAGCTTTCATTGCTGGAGTAACAGGGATTTTATCTGCTGGAGATGAATGACCTGCCAGGGCCATAAACAGTGGTGAAAGTTCATCAGTAGTAAGGGCTAAAGATGGCCTAGCCCAGTTAATATTTCCCAGCAAACTTTGGAGCTGTACCAGAGTCAATGTTTCCGGAATATGAAACTGTGGCAAGACTGGCACTGAGGCCTTTTCTGAAAGCTGGTGTCCTAAGTATTTGAAAGGAGGGGCTTCTTGGACCTTTTCTGGTGCTACATAAAGTCCATATGCTTCCAACGAAGCAACAAGAAAGTCCATATGACATTTATCAACATTTTTCCCTGCTATTAAGATGTCATCCATGTAATGATACACCATTAAGTCCGGAAATGCTGATCGAAATGGTTGCAGGGCCAAAGCAACAAACAGCTGACAGAGGGTGGGAGAATTTGCCATTCCTTGAGGCAAGACACACCACTCATACCTTTGTGTAGGGCGATCGTTGTTCAGCACTGGAACTGTAAATGCAAATTTTTCTCGATCTTGAGGAGCTAGTAATATATTAAAAAAACAGTCTTTCAAGTCAATTATTTTCAGTTTATAATTTTGTGGGATCAAGTTTGGATTTGGCATCCCACATTGAACAGGTCCCATCACTTGCATACGTTCATTCACTTTTCTTAAGTCTTGTAATAATCTCCATTTGCCTGATTTCTTTTTTATCACAAATATTGGTGTATTCCATGGACTGGAACTAGGCTGAATGTGTCCCAACTGAAGTTGCTCCTGAATAAGGGCCTCCACCGCCTGGAGCTTTTGTAAAGGCAGCGGCCACTGGTCTACCCATACTGGCGCAGTTGCACTCCTTTGAACAGAACGGCATTGCGCTCTAAAATGGCCTTCTCTGCCACACCCAAAGCACCTCTTACTAGCAGCAGGATTATTAGCCTGTTGGAATGTCTGTACTGCAGCAGCTAGCAAACGTGCCTTATGGGTTTGTGATCCAACATTCTGACACACCCGAAGCATAGTATGTATATCAGTATCTGGATTGTTATAAATGGGTGTGAGGGCCGTTTTACAGTCCTCATTTGCATTTTCAAACGCTAGTTGCTTGAGCAGTAATTTTCGAGCTCTAGGACTGTCGATTTGGCGTTCCACTGCCCGCATCAGTTTATTAATGAAATCAGTATATGGCTCTGTAGCGCCTTGCCTTATATTAACGAAGCTGGATAATGAATTGTCTCCAGGCTCTGGGATCTTTTTCCAGGCTTTTACGACTATATTTGCCACTTGAGTCAAAGCCTGATCGGTTAACGCAACTTGTTGAACGGCCGTCGCGAATGCTCCCTCCCCCATTAGCATGTCTTCTGTGATGTTAATGTTATTCATAGCATTCTGCACCGCCTGTGCAGCCGCACTCTGCCGCCAAGCCTCCATACAAAGGAGGCTTTGAGCGGGGGGGGAGGAGAGAGCGGAGGATCATTTTCCAATCCGTGGGCGTTAGCCTCTGGAGGGACATGCCTTCAAGCAAAGCTCTAGTAAATGGTGCCTGAATACCATTATCCCGGATTGATCGCTGTAACTCTTTTAAAGTTTGCAACGGAAGCAGTTCGTATCTATCCGGAACAGCTTGCATGCCTCTTCCCCCGGGGGCCCCTCTGAGCACGGGAAACGCTGCTGGAATCTCTTGCGATCCCGGATCCCCTTCCTCCATAATTGCTGCTTGCAAGGCAGCAGCTAACGCAGCTGAACGCTGCATCGCAGGGGCCAGGGTCACCGCAAGTTCCTCATTTTCCGATCCCAGATCGTCAGGCGGTTTAGACGGCGGAAGATGGCGGCGCTCCTCATATAGAGGAGGAGGAGGGGCTCTAGGGATCGGGACCGGCGTGGGGGGTAAAATTCGCGGCAGGGGTGGATTTAGCACGGTTTCAGCTTCCAGTTGTTGATTAAATAATATATTAGTCGGCGTTAGTCCTTTTAAACAAGCCCGGACTTTACACCACGTGAATAAAATCCTGGGAGTAATTCT